TTCCTTATCCTATCTTCTCTAGTCACTCCACTCATCCAACTAAGCATTCTCATCTCTGCTACACTTATTCTCTGCTCTACTTTCTTATCAACCGCCCAACACTATATAACACTAACAACCATACATCATAGCTGGGCTCACAATTTCATACTGAATTTAAAAACTATAATTAGTATTTATTCATATATTATATTTTAAAATCAAAGAACTGCTAATCAGGATATAATTAAAGAAATAAGAGTTGATGTTCCTTTTGGAATAATCCACCAATTTCTCTAAATGAAACACTATCTACAGATTTGCATCGAAGCGTTTCTTATGATAGTGATTTTAATCACTGTTAGATATCATCTATACTTGTCCCATCTGTGCCTCGTCCACACTGTGCCTCGACCCCACTTTGCTACCGTTTTTTAATTTATAGTACGTAATATAAGCTTTAATAACATATGTTTAAAAAATGCAGTATTTCCGGAACATTTTCAAAGCTGAAGTTGAAAAAGTTAAATTGTTATGTGAAAATTGCTATTTTTAATTCCCCTAATTGGAAAGTAAAGAGTCAGATTTTCAAAAAAATTATATTAAAAGAAAGGGAAATACCTGAGGTTTTAATATAAAAAAGTTATTTTGCTTCGTTAATTTATTGGTATAATATGGTAGTTTTAAGAACAAAAAAGTAAAAACATGTCGATATTTAACGATTTTAAAAATCATAATTTTTTTTTTGGTAGAGGGACAGTGTGGTCGAGTCGGTAACGCGCACTGCCTCGGGTTCGAAACTCGGTCACGAACACCTTCATTAGCCAAACGAGAGATCAGTTCGGTCCCTCTCTCCAGTGTCGGACTAACCACCCGTCCCGAAGTACAAATGGTTAAGAAACCTCCTCCTTTGGGAAAGGCCTGCTATGGCCTTTAATGGGCTGATAAAGTAATAAAAAAATTAATTAATAAATAATTTTTTGGTGGATTTCCACCATTTATGGGGAACGAGGTGAATTTTTTCAATTTTTATGGGGAATGTTTTCAATGAGATACGATTTGTGATCGCATTGACGTATCGTTGAAAGAAATCGGTCCTGTGAAAGATGAAAAAAGATGACGACAGACACACAAAAATGTAAAATAAAAATAAAGTCATCAAGGTAAAATTAATACCTTCTCAGCTTCGCATTGAAGCTAAAAAGATCAAAACAAGTTTTATCGAACATAAAATTTTTTTAAAGTAAAAATGAAGAACTTTTAAAAAAATCTTTTTTATTTTATTTGCTGCTCTTACTTTTTCATTTATTTCGATTTCTTCTATATTCGCCTCAAATTTATTATTACTTTAGATTAAATAAATCAATCAATTAAATAATTTTTGATATAGCCATACTAATTTCAGAATCAACATTTTGATGATTTATAAATTATTGCATAAATATATAACAATAAGATGTTTGAATTACTTCTGTCGATTGAAACCAAGTTCGAACGCACATCCGAACAAGTAAAATATAAATTGACTTTTAGCTATTTTTCACTATCAAATATAACAACGAGCAAAACAGTGTTTCTCAATATAAAAACTATATGAGGGAAATCCTCACATCTGAGCAAGACAGGTCAATTACTAATAAGCCCTGGTTTATACCAGGGTTTAAATCATCTTTTCTACTATCATATTTCAGTCATCTTTTAAAATAACTGAAGTATACAATATTTTTACAGTAAGTTATTTAATCTCCAGACTTAACTATTTATGATTTTTAAAATAAATTGTAATAATTATTTACTTATTTAGTAAAAGTTCATATTTGAAATGTTACCAAAAATATGAAACTTACTTTTTTATTGTATTATATTTAATAAAAAATGAATTTAATAAATAAAAAAACAAATACACCTTAGTTTAAAGAATATAAAATATTCTCATGTCAACAAAAAATAACATTATCAAAATTATTATTAGAAAATTTTAGTTGATATAAATGTCAAAAGCTAAAAATTATGTCAATTATTTTATCATGCTCTTTTTATCTTTTTTAATAAAATTACTGCTTTGACATTTTATAAATAAAATTAATAATAAATATTCCATTTTGTAATATGACACTCGTTTCAAAGAATAATAAACCCTAAAATATAATAAAACACTAAGTTTTATTGTTCAATAATTTTTGTGTAAAACACGAATAGAGTTTATAATAGTTATGTTTTTTTACTGAAAATGTTTACTATATGAATACATTTATGTATACATTTGTTATTTTTGCTACGTCAATAATAATTTGATTATTGAGTTAAACGACGTATCATTTTTACTATCTTAGAAATATTTTTTTTTAACGAATTTTGTAAATATTTTCTTCACTGAAAAATAAAAAGCTAAAGTATTTTATATTCATGGTGATAAATTTGTCGAATTTTCATCTTAAATTGTTTATACTAAAGTTTTTTTGTGACCAGATGAACTAAAATTGGAATATTATTAAATGATTGTTTGAATTTGTTAAATATGAGGTAGTCTATACATTTTTTTTTATAAAACGACACATACTTAAAAATAACTTACGTTATTATATTTTATATTATTTTCAGAAAATCAAAGAAATGTGTTGAGGTCAAAAGTGACAGTATTTTAAATATTCAATTTCTTAAAATATTTTATTTGTATCCTGTTATCGATCCGAATACCAATTATAATACAATATGCGGCTATAATATTTATTTAATACTTCACGAGGCGCTTAAAGTTATAATTGCAATTGTTTTAATTATTTCCATAACTGGCTTTTTTTTTGGAATACATGACCTTAACTTCGTTATCAATTCTTCGAATATAATTATTTGTGCAATATTGGACATAACAAAAGTTTCTCGATTCACACGTACACCGCATAAAGTTTGGAATCTGATTTCTATGATAAACATTGATATTTTTAAGAATGGTCATTACAGGAATGATATTGTTGAGTTGTATAAAAATAAAATCACCAAGTATACTATCTTAAATACAGCTGCTTGGTTATTGGTATTGTTATTTTATTTATGTGGTCCGATTTTTGTGCATCGTTTTACAGTGAAAAGTAATGACGATCATATAATTGTCTATCCATATAATGTAATAAATCTATTATATCAACCGTTATCTATTGAAAACTATACAAATTTTTATATAATGTTCTATATATTGGAAGCATTTAGTGTGGTCCATAGTATAACTATGTGCATTATTTTTGACAACTTTGTGATTTCATTAGGTTTGACGGTACTCGCACAACTAAAAACTATTGAATCAACTCTTCATACATTTGGTCATCAACCTAATAATAAGAATGGTAAGTTAATTTTACGATAAATTTTACACTTTAAAATTTATTAACACATAAACGATAAAGATAATTTTTACTGTTCATGGTTAATTGAGATTTTTTAATGGGACCAATCACAAAGAAAAACTTTTAGCTGAAAATAGAATTTTTTCAACATATCTTATTGATTAATTTCAATGAATATCATTGACCTCAACACAATATTGTTTCATCGTGAGAAGAATCTTCAGAATCTTATTAATATTAATTAACTATGAGGTTTTTCAACGATACGTTTATCAGAAAGGCGCCCCAACGGCCCGCATACCTCATAGCTATGCGAGTCGCCTTGGATGGGGCGGCTTCTACCCCGTGGAAAGCCGTAGGAAAATGGAGGTAGGCCGAGGCTACTCATCATGTAATAGCCTAGACCCGGACAAGCAGGAAGAGGGAAGAGGTGAAAGGAATGTGGACTGGGCCTAAGGTACCCATTCCGGGGAGACGAGGAGGCTCCCGTGTTGCGGGGGGACGGCGATATTCACCCGACACCCACCCGCATACGTTAAATGATTAAAATTCATTTAGTTATTTCCCTATGTTATCCTCAAAATTCGAAAAAATTTCCACTCTATTAGGAAAAAGTTACTTATACCACATTCAAAAATTTAGTGATGAATTGCAGATATATAAATATCACGAAAAGTCTAATAATAAAAGTAAATTTATAAAAATTCCTTCTAAAAACTTTAATTCATAATTAACAACAAATTATTCTCTAAAAAGTTTTATATCAAGACCTTCAACTTGTATACACGTTTGCCATAAAATTAATAACAACTTTATAATAGTAAATAAACTTTTAGTTGTGACTAATAATTTTCTAGAAAATTATTTTATTAACCAGGATTACTAAACCTGCTAATCAAAAATAACAAATTATAAAATTGCATGTTAATAATACTCAAAAAAAAACCCAGCACAGGGGGGTCGCGGCACAGTGGTGACGTGGCATAGATGGATCAAGTATAATGATATCTGACAGTGATTAAAATCACTATCATAAAAAACGCTTCGATGCAAATCTTTAGATACTTTTTAATTTTAAAAAATTGGTGGACTATTCCAAAAGCTACATGATCTGCTAGTTCATTTTTAATATCCTAATTAAGATAAAGTATGTTAATGAAAAAGGAATTATTAAAAAATATTATTTATCATAAAAAAATAATGTTGATCCATACACTTTTCAATATGTCATAGCATTATAAAGTTAAAAATGTAAAAAATAAAATCGAGAATTTTCACACAATAATAGCATTCGGTAGCCATTTTCACCGTTTGGACTAAATAAAGTCCGAAATTTTTTTTTCGCATAATAAAGTACATTACATTAGCTTTAATTTAAAATATATATAAAAGTGTCAGACTTTCCGGAACACTTTCAAAATTTAAGTTGAAAAAGTTGTCATTTTGAATCCCCCCTGTAGGCAGGTAAAAAGTCAGATTTATAAAAAAATTATACCAAATGATAGGTTAAGACATCATGCATCTACAAAAAAAAGAATTATATTGATCCATAGATCTCTCAAAAAGTTATAGCATTATAAAGTTAAAAATATAAAAAAGAATTTTTTTACAAAAATTGTATTTTTTTTATTAAGTTTAATGTCTGTTTTCACCATGAAGATAAAATAAAGTCCGAAATTTTTTTTTACCATTATAAAGTATATTACATTAGCTTTAATTTAAGATATATATAAAAGTGTCAGACCTTCCGGAACACTTTCAAAAGTTACGTTGAAAAAGTTCTACTTTCTATATGCATTTTTATGTTTTGAATCCCCCCTGTATTTAGGGAAATGGTCCGATTTAAAAAAACAGTATGTCGAATGAAAGATCTATATAAATACTACTTCTCATAAAAAAATTGTAATGATTCATACATTTTTCAAAAAGTTATAGCATTATAAAGTTAAAAATGTAAAAAATAAAATCGAGAATTTTCACACAATAATAGCATTCGGTAGCCATTTTCACCGTTTGATGAAGATAAAATAAAGTCCGAA